GGTATACACTGTTACACAGTCAACAGATTGTACGGTATACACTGTTACAGAGTCAACAGATTGTACAGTATACACTGTTACAGAGTGAACAGATTGTATGGTATACACTGTTACAGAGTAAACAGATTGTACGGTTTACACTGTTACAGAATAAACAGATTGTACGGTATACACTGTTACAGAGTAGACAGATTGTACGGTATACACTGTTACAGAGTATACAGATTGTACGGTATACACTGTTACACATTAAACAGATTGTACAGTATACACTGTTACAGAATAAACAGATTGTACGGTATACACTGTTACAGAGTATACAGATTGTACGGCATACACTGTTACAGAGTCAACAGATTGTACGGTATACACTGCTACACAGTCAACAGATTGTACGGTATAAACTGTTACAGAGTAAACAGATTGTACGGCATACACTGTTACAGAGTCAACAGATTGTACGGTATACACTGTTACATTATAGCATTGTTATGTTTCAATTTAAATCATGTAAAACGTTATCAGTTATGTTTATATTGTGGATGTAGATACTTTGCATTTATATTTGCTGAACATGCATATTACAATAGCTTCACAATAATAATGTTTTAGTAAATATTTTGTTCATGCTTTAATGTTAGATGTGTTTATTCATTGCCAAATATTTTTGTTCTGTGTAATGATTGAAAAGAAATGGACCACATTTAAATTATAGTGCTGTATGTATGTGCCTTGTGATTAGATTATAATTTTGTTTATTTTTAAAATTAAATACTGTTTTAACTCACCTATCAACATTGTGGTGTATGTATTACTTTGTAAACTACACAAGTATGTATAACTTCTCAACTACATACTGTAAGTATGTAAGAAATTATACAAATTTGCTGTACATACCATCTGTGCATAAGAGAAAGAGAATACTGTGGTGTAATCAGAACAGCAATTCAAAATCCCAAACTAACGATGAACAGAGGAGGATTTACATAGAGAACCTTAAAAGTGTCGCATCAAAGAAATGTCTCTTCCTCAAAGAGAGCCATTGTAGCGATACAAAAGCAAGGCACACGAATGAGCATAATGAACCTTCATACCACACAAAGAAATTACTTTGTTTCCCAATGAGATCATGACAGAACCATAAAACTTAGCCATAATCTTCAGCTTGCATGCATCTCTTGAAATCCTGTTGTAATTTTTTCCATCATCAGTTGACATCTATCACAGAAATCGAGATATTCGAAGCAAGCCATTGGATACCAAATCAACTGCGACATGTTAACGTGATTTGGGGGAAATCTAGATGTTACTATGAAAAAAGGGAAAGTTCACTATAGGAAAATTGAAGTCACCCACCTTGCCGCACAGCTCCAAGCTATGCCATCCCTTTATGTCATATTTTTAAGTAAAGATGGAGAAAAGGGGCTGCTGTAGAGTAGGTTGTGTCCTTTACCTCTAAATTTTATTTAAAATATATGTATATTATAATAAAACAAGCTTTTAGAATATCTATCAGTACCACTTTACTGCCTTTAAAGTTTCCAAGATTGTCAATAGAAAATTAGCTTTTGTAGTAAGATTTGTCTCAGAAATTCAGAAAATTAGGCAAAATACCAAAGAAAAATTTACATTAGGCCCATGGAAAAGTAAGAGAAGAAAAAGAGCAGGCGTTCCGGAAGGTTAAGCGTCTTCTGCTTCACTGACAACATCGTGATATCAATAAAAATGAAATCAAGTAGTATTACGTCCATAAAACGAGAACCAGGATAACAATGAAACACACTAATGAGCATAATCAAAACCATCGACCATCATATCAAAGAAAGAAATAGCATATTTCTCTATGAGTTCATGATGGCGAACAAAATAGTTGCTCAAAGTCTTCATCGATCAGCATCTCTGCATCAGAGCAAGTTATGGAATACCAAACCAACTGCAACTTAAAAATACAATAAGTTTGGGAAGCAAAGAGGTTACTATAAAGAAAAGAAAACTTCACGATCGGAAATTCGAACTCGTCACGCTCATGGTAGGACTTCCTAGTAAGCTGTCCATGTTAATCGTTAAAACTCCAGAAAAACCCATCGTACGACTTCCTAGTAAGATGTCGATGTTAATCGTTCAAACTCAAGAAACCCCATCGTACGACCTATTAGTAAGCTATCAACGTTAATCGATCAAACTCCAGAAAAACTCATCGTACGACCTATTAGTAAGCTGTCGATGTTAATCGTTCAAACTCCAGAAAAGACCATCGTACGACTTATTAGTAAGCTGTCCATGTTAATCGTTCAAACTCCAGAAAAGAATATCGTACGACTTCCTAGTAAGCTGTCGATGTTAATCGTTAAATCTCCAGAAGAGCCCATCGTACGACTTCCTAGTAAGCTGTCAATATTAATCGTTAAAACTCCAGAAAAGCTCATCGTACGTATTCTTAGTAAGCTGTCCATGTTAATCGTCCAAACCTCAGAAAAGGTCTTCGTATGACTTCTTAGTAAGCTTTCCATGTTAATCGTTCAAACTCCAGAAAAGCTGCTCGTACGACTTCCTAGTAAGCTTTTAACGCTAATGTCAGTATAATGTGACTTGATAGAGTGTCATGGTACCGTGTTCGATTCAAAACATTTCAGTGAGTTCGCGCTTTAAAGTTACATTTGAGTGCCCCTACCATCAATGGCCACTGTCTTCATGTGAACTAAGCTGCTGCAAATATATATCCTTAAAAAACCAGTGATATAGATACACTTCATTTTATTATGATCAGGACTCAACAAACACTGGACGTCATATACTTACGTAAAATAAATGAGTTTGCTCGTTTTGCTCTGACTAGAACCTAGACAGAGCTCATCTTTTCGGGTGAGTTCTCTTTGATAAAATTGACCTCTAAATCAAAATGTTCTGGCTTGAATGTACACTTCTCCTCTCGAATCAGTCGTCTAATAAAATTCATAAACAGCTGTGTGGCTGTGTGGCAAAATAAAGTCCGTTAAACGATGTCTGGATCATCTTAGATATTTAACTTGATAAAGCCAATAAGCAAAGCTCTGGCTGTGTGACAAAAACAAATTCATAACAAAACTTTCGACATACTTAACAAACTAAACTTCGGCAATAGCTATGTGGATATGTCACATAATGAAGTTCATAAACAGTCATCTGGATATATTTTGATATTTTTTTTACATATACATGTTCAAAACACAAAGAGGTCCAGGCGGACTTTCGGCATGTGTTAACATTTATTGAATTGGTTTTTGTAGGAGATTTTGATGTTTGGTGTACACATCACATGCTTTCTTTAGTGTGGGATTCCATCTATTATTGGCATGGATATCTAGAATAGACATATCGTCGATAAGTTTGATTTATGTCCACAGGGTTATTTAACATCCCGACAAATCCCAAAATACTTTTGAAAATTGATATCGTTATTAAAACAAATTTGATCTACAAATATGTTTCTAACCTCTCCGA